ACTAGTGCAATAAACTAAGGCAAACAGTATGTATGGTGTATATCAATGTAACACAAAGTGGTCTGACCTTTGAAGAAATAAAGAGAGAGGACTCACTTAGATTAGCAGATGGCACTAACACATGAGCTGGCTGGCATGGCATTTCTCTGAAAACAAAGAAAGGGAGAAAATATGTATGAGCTTCTAACCATATCTTCCAACCACAAAATGCAGCCAGTTCAATGTAAATCAGCTGGTGTTTAGATTGACTCGTGGTATCTGACGTCATATCTTAGTTGTAGACAGCTGATGGTGATAGTTGGTAATAATTCAAATTTTAGAAATGAAATTGTTTATGCCCACACATCATCTTGTTTGTCAATGTGGGTGAAATTGTTCATTAAGTTGTTTAGTAAAGACATTTTCAGCAAACAAACAAATACAGCATCAATAAAAAACACACTCCAATATGTTTATGTGATACATTTAATTAGTAGTTACATTGCAGATTCTGATTAATACTACTAAATAAAATTAACAAATACATTATAATGTGTTATCATGGATAAAGATGAGACTTGACTGCAACCCAGCAGTGTATATGATCGTCAGTATTATAATGTAATATTTTTCTGAAATGTACTGTTCTGCATAATGAGTACTTTCATTTTGTTTTTTGTACTTCTAGTATATGTTGATGCTTATACTTTTGTACTTTTTCTGAAGTAAAATTTTGAATTCAGAGCTTTTACTTGTTACAGATTATTTTGTTGTTTTGCTACTTTTACTTATGTAAAAGATCTGAGTACATCTTCCACCACTGGTAAGCAGCACTTTACTGTTAGCTGGTTGAGGTTGAGTTATTTTCAACTACTTTTCGCAGAGCAGTGTGGGCCAGTGATTCCCAACTAGGTGATTGGGCTTCTTCCAAAGGGTCACACATCTGATATGTCATGAGATGATTAATGGAGTAAGAGGGGAAGAAAAGTTTCCTCGGCCTTTGCTTTCTCTGTGAAATGCAGGATCATTTAAAATCTTTGTGCCTCAAACAGTTATTTAACTGAAAACACAGAGCGTAGAAGGGGCATGTCTCTTTGTAAAATGTGGAGATGTGATTGTGTTAGTTTAAGTGTGATCTTCAGGCTCTCCTCTACTCTGCAATCTTGTCAACTATTAGTTTTAAAACTTGTCGAATGACATATGTTGCAATTTCAATTAAGTACTCCTCAACTGCTCTGTCTTCCAAATGATTGGTATGATTGCTGGCAGCCATCAATACTTTACTGAAATTATTTTAAGTAACATTATTTCGACTGAAGATATAGCTTTTTTGTTCATTTTATTTCAATAATAACAACATAAATCTCTGTATTATAAGAATGAGAGTAGAGAGGAAACTGAAGCAAGGCTGGAATTGTGTCTGTCAGTCACAGTTTCCTTTTTCTAATGTGTGGGCAAGAAGCTTGACGCAAAATATTTCCTATGTTCTTACTTCCCGCAGTCATTTTGACTTGTCATTATAGAAAAAGCGCAAGTGTACCTAACAATATTACTGGCATTAACAATGTCTGCCTGCTGGCTCACTGTCAACGCTTAAAATAAAGCGGGTCATCATCCATTACATCACTTCCACCTGTGCTTTTCTGTTGCAACAAGCCAAAATGTCCAGTGTGAAAAAGGTCTGTAAGCATCTCTGTTTCACAGCAGGATGTCAAATTCACCTGTGAGCAAACAGCCATTACTAAAATACACTTGATACAACGTGAATATGCAAGTTGAAATGATATTCCACCCTTAGACATTCGGAAAAACCTTCATAAAATGTTAAGACAAGGTGATGACAAGCAATTCTTGGTGGGAGTTTTGCTGATAAGGGATTAGCAGGTGATTGCTTCGTAATAACGCCTTGCACCCCGTGGAACATAGTAAAACAGATACAAGTCATCCTTCGGTCCTTATTTGGTGTCTTCTTCCTCTGACGTGTCTGTATACTGTGGTTTCAGAGTGTCAGGATGTCAATATAAAGTGGCAAATTAGAGTGTGTAGGGTATTCAACCTCTCTGCTCAACCTACCAGCGCTGTCTCACGGTCTCTTTCAAAGACATGAAGAACATTACAGGTCTTGCACTGATGATGGCCGCAATGGTCTCCGCAGTACAATTACACTGCAATGACACAGTGCTGCTGAATCACATTATTGCCGAGGTAGACACCCTGATACCCATGATAACGGTAAGAAAACTACAAAACTACACATCATTGATTTGTTTGTTTTATAATATACTGATTTACATATCTTGTCATTGAAGGACCAGCACCTAAAGATCACAGACATATCACCAGATCGACTCTCATGTGTGGTATGTTGGAAACCATTTCTGATTGGGATTATTGTACACATGACGTTTGTCTGACATAGTAGATGTAAACTTGCATGGAACTTATGAACTCCTTAAGATGAAGCTCAGCTGGTTTCTTCAGATTGATTCCGTGCTAACTCCAACATGTTCAATGCCACTACTGTACTAATTGTGTCTTTCTCTTCACAGGAAGGCTTCTTCTGTAAGGCTGAGATGGCTCTGGAGAAATACGGAAAATCGCCTTCAGTCGATGTATCAACCCTCGACCGTCTGTTGCTGCAGTACACGGTAAAGATAAATTCAATGTGATTGAAGATGTGTTCAGCCAGAATGCATTAATTAAATGTCTAATTGTTACTCTATAAAGCTTCTGTTCCAACAATGAATATGCTCTTTAATGTCAAATGTCTTCTTCTTCACTTTAGTTTTGTGTTCAGCTAAATCTTTGACCACTTAAAACTGAAATTGTCATAATGATTTTGTTTCAGAAAGCAAAGAATGTCACATACTGTCCTCTGAACACAAAGAAGAAATGTGGCATGAAACGATTTTTGGAGAAAGTCAAGATTTGTTCAAGAAGAGCACTGGAGAACAATATAATGACATGTCCTTAATAAGTTATTTCTATTTATTGTGAAACATAATATTTATTTTCCTACATATCTTATTTTTGTACTGTTTGTATTTATACATCAATAAATTATAATGGCACAGTGGTTTGTTGTTAAAGTCTGTTTCTTGTGCTTATGTTTTGGGTATGAGCGATCCATCATCAGTGTTCAAGTAAAAGTCTCCGGTTAACCAGTAGCAGCAGTTTCACGCTGAAGTACACAGTGAAGAACGCTTTCAGGTTTACACATTTTACAACAGTAGGAAACGCTAATAATAATAATACGTGTTCATATAACCTTTTTTAAAGCAACAATAAAAAACAGGAATATTGCCGATTTAATTATGAAAGTGGCAAAGAGCAACAAGAATGTGAGATAAAACGTGTAAAATAATTTAATAAATAAAATATCCAGGGGTTTGGTGCATGTAAACATTTGACATACGTCATGATACAAAATAAAAGTCAGTTTGCAGCTACAGAACATCATAAAAAAAAGATCTCCACAAAAACCTCATACTAGTGCAATAAACTAAGGCAAACAGTATGTATGGTGTATATCAAT